CTCTCTGTTCTGTCTGACTACAAGAAGTGAAACGTTTTGCAGGGACATTTCTCCTCTGCTGATCTCTCGGTGATTTTGGCGAATTTGTATGAAGAAAAAAAAACATCACTTCATTCTGGGTTAAAAATGCATTGTAATGCACGTTACTGACATTTATACCGAGTAAAATATTACCAATTTTTTTTCTGTAATGCCTTACATTACCTTGTTACAGCAAAAAGCAATGCATTACAGTAATTTGTTACTTTTGTAACGCGTTACTCCCAACACTGGCCACCAGTGCACCGCCAGTGACCTTGTGGATGACCATGTTGGCCTTCAGCAGCCCCAGCTGCCTACCTGGTGACAGTGGCCAGGACCCTCCTGTAGAGGGCGCTGTCTTTCCCTTGTGGCGGCAGCAGCTGCGCTGCCATGCCCCCGGTGGCCAAAGCCCCCCGTCGGTGGCACGTCTGAACCAGCAGGTCCATGTAGCTCTTCAGGAACCGCTTTTCCATGTTCACGTATTTGCTGCGGTCCGGAAGCAGGAAGGCTGGTCTGTGACCTAAACATACGAGAGTGACCACCTCAAGAAGAAGGACATTCAGGAGGTCAGGATGGTAGTTCAGTCGTGGTCAAAAATGAAGACTTTAAAAGGTCATTTTGGAGAAGTGATTAAGTGGCAACTCTGAGCTTCAAAAGAGGAACCCAAGTTCAAAGCCCCTTAGCCAAAACTTCCTTAGTCAACTTTAATTCTTTAAATTTGAGGCTGGTATGTACTATGGTATCCTGTGCTAAGGCTGAACAAGACCTGCGCACCAGAACTGAGGATCCTGGCTTTAAAAGGATTGTATGTTGAGTCCACCTCCATAACCCAGCAGGTGTGAGAAGATTAAGATCTCGCTAAATGATAGTTGGTTTCTCACCAAACTTGTTGACAAATGACGCTGAGTAATCCCAGATCCCGCAGTTGAGGCCTGCAGAGTGTTCCCGCATTTCATACAGGATCTCCTCCATCTCAAATGTGGCCAGGATGTTCTCTATCAAGACGGTGGCCTTGATGCAGCCAAACGGCAGGCCCAGCTGAAACAGGACACCTTCAGGTCAAGGTGAGAGGCGGCTTTCGTTCTGTCACGCAGTAGGGGCGCACTACTGACACCAGGCAAAGCATAGCCATGAAAGTCATTTTGGCTCAGTGTTGCGTCATCTTGCTAAGTCTGTTAAACAAACAAACATGATCAAATATTGACAAAAAAGTGGCCTGTTTTCAGCTAGGAAAAATGCTCTTGGCAGTTTTGACCAAAAAAAAGGCTAATGATCAAAAACATCTGCCTTAGGATGACTTCCCAGCAAAGATGTTTTCCCAGTAAGAAACCAACGCCTCTTCCTCACCTTCTCTTCTGTCCAGAGGAATATTTTGTTCCAAAGTCGTGCCTCTTTGTAGCATTCAATCTGTAGGGAAAAACTGTAAATAAGACCTAGCTTGCTGCTTAGGGGTGATTTAAGATGAGCACCGATTTTCTAGAACAGTGATTCCCAATCCAGTCCTCGGGGACCTGTCCATGTTTTTGCTCTGTCCCAGGCAAGGAGTTAGGAGGAAGCAAAAACATGGACCATCTGTGGGTCCCCGCGGACCGGAATGGGAACCACTGTTCTAGAAACCATTATATCATATAATTCTCAATATGGAGACATAAAAAACACTGTGAGATCCGTGCTCCAGCTGTGAGATGTCGCAAAGTTATAGACTGTGAATGAAGTTTCATGGCTTGTCAAGACGAAAATGTTTTGTTGCCTTCCAAAGCCAAACTCCCCTGCTTTTCAAAACACAGTATGAAACATAAAGTGCAAAAAATTCTATTGTTTTTCCATCCAAGTCATGAATACATTTTAAGTCTAAATATCTCAGTATCTCAGATAAAGCTCTGGGTGAAAATGGGCTCATTTTAGTAGAAATGGACCTCAAACGATAAACAAATAGTACTGCACGACAGAACTGTAAAAATCAAACAAAACCTGCTTTTTGGTTGCATCTGAACCTAAATAAGAATCATAAATAATAATCATTTACTATAGCAAATTTACACCTGAAATTCACCACACAGACTTTTGAATAATACAACATGGAATAAACTTTAGCGTGTGAGAACAAACTCAGGCATGTTACCTTCGACAGGTAAAAAAATGGCCCGCTGTCATTCTGGAAGAGCAGCTGCCCGTTGTGGAACATCAAGAGGCCAAAGTCAAACAGTGGCCCAGGGACCTCCTTCCCATTGACCTGTACAGGAGGCATATCTGAGTTAGCATGGTGTACTAGACTTCCACACTTCAGGATGGTTTGCCCTGGGCCTGCCAGCATCTATTCAGTACCATCATGTTGTGCTCCACCATGTTCCAGGCACGTGGTCGAAGCATGAGCAGCGGAGCCTGAGATATAGGAGGAACATCTGGGAAGGTGTTGAAGACACATCTGGTTACTATAGCAACAGCGTTTCAGCTCAGATCATAACGCAACAGAATGCCGCAATTGAGTTTAGTTTCCGGCCAACATGCTGAAATTCCACAAGCATTTCAGCTTATCCCTGAATCCCTGAAATTAATAAGCTTGAAAACTCACCAGCAAATTGATTGTGCACTACCTTGTATACATTGCAAAGGCCTTTGATCTGATTGTAGTATGTGGGACAATTTCCATCGTCAAAGTCAACCTCGAGGAAAAGAACCACAACAGAAGAAGGAATGAACAATAAAAATAATAGCCAGCTGAAAAAAAACAAAAAGACAGCCTGCTATATATTCCAGTAGCTTAACCAACATGTTTGTTACAATGTTTATGGGAAATAATTACATGTTAGTTCTAGACTGTGTCCAGGAAGCCACAGTGAAATGCATTACGGAAACTGCCTCTCATTACTTAATTAGATCTGGCAGGAATCACAGAGGATCCCAATAACAGCTGAATGAGACAGAAGGCAAGTAAATATGTCTATTTACTGACTGTCTACGAGTGTCATTTCCTGCTTCTCGGAGGCCAAGTCAGGAAGCAAACTTTCACTGCCTTTTTGAGGGAGATGGGGGTGAGGTTAAAAAAAGGTTCTAAGTTCTTATTTCTTCTTTCAACTTTAAACTACAGAAAGATTGAGGTACTCATTTTACAGCTAGTTCGCTCATTACCTAGTAGTTAATGCTGCCCATTGGCTATACCTGGATTCCCTGTGCCGGGGAGCTCAGGCCCTGTTTGAAACGTTCTGTGTCACACGGTGCCAGGTCCCCTATGTCCACGTGTCTCCTTTGCAGGCGCTTGGGTACGGGATGGACCCTCCACGACTTGTCACTATGGATGTGAGCGGTGTCCTCAGAGAACTTTGGCAACTCCCCCGTCAAGTTGAGGTGGACCTTTCTCGCGATTCTTTGATTGAGTATCTGAAGGTCACCAAAGAAGCAGCCATTTTAAGAGCCTCTTTCAGAATTCGTTTCCTAATTTCAGGATGGAGAAGGATATAATCATCTTATGGCTGCTCACCTGCTCAACCTCCTCCTCGAAAGTGGAAACCAGCTCCGCCATGAAGAGCAGTGACTGGGCATTGAGGAGGATGTCAAACTCCTCTTTTAGTTCTTGAGGTGGAAGTTCCAATTCCACTGCCCTAAGTGCCTGACACATTAAAGAAAGTAACATTCCATGTGCATTGCCGTATTACTGCATAATTATAGCGATCTGCACACACAGCACGAGCATTCCAACGTGGGACAGACGTTTTTCCGTCACGGTGTATGCAATGCACGGTTACCGATTCATGCAAACGACGTGTCATTAGGAGAACACGAGCAGTTCGTCCCGAACTCAAACACACGAGACCTGATTATTTCCCAGCTGAATACTGGACATGATACTGGTTATGGCTTTTGGAGACAGAGAACATCTAAGTCCCATGTTCTGCTGGGATATTCTGCTTCCAGTGACGTCAACAGGGAGGCAGTTATATTTTTAGGGACTGCAACACCGCGCCATGTCTATTCTATGGTGCCGCTTAGAAAATAAAGTAATTCATATTTAGTTTTTTTTTATTTTGATTTGGGGGGCAGCAGGGGTGGACTCGATTTTACTGGAGTCCCTTAGATCCACTCCTGTCTGTTTCATTCTGTTCATCCCGGAAAAAATAAATGTACATTCATGCGCAAATTAGGCTCAGCTGGAGCATTTTAAAACATCCACTTTTAATTATTAATCTGTGATCCAGACAAGTATCAACATGTTTACATCTGTAGCGTGATTGATCTTTGATGTACTTTTTGTTAAATAATACATTTCTACAATTAAAAATAATTTTGTTTAGGCGAAGATACGCAGTACTTACAGCCATTCCACTGGACGACTCGGAGGAGCAGGTACAGGACTTTGGAAATGACCAGAGCTTATGTTTAACCATATATTTAACCAGGATGTTTACCGTGAGTCTGGAGGTTCAACGTACGGTGCTGACAGGCAGCCAGTTCCTACAAAATGACAGCTTATATAATATAAAATATAATATGATATAAAAAAATATATATATAATATAAAAATAATAGGCGTTCAGGCTTGTTTACATGACCTCTATGGGATGATTTGAGATACTCTACAATTCAATACTATTTGTCACTAAATTGATATTGATAGTAAATGGCAATAGTAATCCTGAATGAGTTATAGGGAAAGTTGGCTAATTCTTGAGGTGACTCAGGATACGATACTTTCGGGAAAACGCCTCCTCAACCCTGATAGGGATACTGGATAATCGGTTATAACCTATTAAATGGGAACCGATCAGGGTAAAGATCGTGTGTAATTAGGGTAATTCTGTGTATGACAAGTTCACGCCTCGTTTACTCTAGAATTTGTGCACTTCACAGTTTATTTGGAGCTCCATTGCTTTTGATCGTAGCTCGGTTCTCTTTACTTTTAGCGAATCACATTGGAAGTTTAGCGACTTCCGTCAGCCGTTGCCATTTAGTAAAGCCCCTTGAACCGAACCGCCCATCGGTCCTTTTAACTACGGCAGAGAAGCGGTGCGGGACCATCTTCCTCATTCTCGCGATACACAGACACAGAAGGGCTGCAGCCGGTCTGTGCGACACCCGCACGGCGCGCACCATCTAGGGGAGCGGGTTTGATTCACGTTTGAATGGCCGAGTGCTTCGTGGTAGATTGACTTCTACCGGCCCTGAAGTTTCAGAGGAAGGAGCAGTTTTCCTGATCGGCATGTCAGAGACGGAGTCATCCCTCGATCTGACCACATCGCTGTCCGGAACGTTTCCGCAGCTCCGATCTCGGATCTTCAAAATCATAGTGATTGGGGACTCCGGGGTGGGAAAGACATGCCTCACCTACAGGCTGTGGACCGGCAGGTTCCCGGAGAAAACCGAAGCCACCATCGGGGTCGATTTTCGGGAGAAAGTGATCGAAATCGAAGGAGAGAAAATCAAGGTAAGTAACACGCAGATTGCCCCCTTTTCCATCGTTTTGTGATTACAAGATGTAGGATTGGGAACACGTGTGGACTTGTTGAATTGTGATGAATGAAACTACAACTGTTTAATCCGACATTTTATGTGGTTTATCATGCGTGCCTTGAAGTAGGCTGTTTGCAAATTGTAAACTTCGTAATATGCAAAGTGTCGGCTGTTGCATTTGGCAGAAGATGTATTAAAACATACATTCAGTTTAATATAGTATACCAAGTCTCAAACTAGGCATTGTGAACAGTATAGTTCAGACATCTGATGCTTTCAAATCATAGTGCACTTCAGTAAAACAATGCGCTACTTCCAACGCATCAGATACATTTCACATATTTTCACCTGGAAATACTTTCCCGGTATGCAGGCGAGGCCAGAGTTTTCTTAGCAGATATAAATCAACTGCACTCATTTTAAAAGTCTTCTTTAAAGGCAATTTATTTTTTCCAGATACGAGGCTTCCGTAATCGTCGTGTCGAGTACTAAGACGAACTTTAGGACCGTGTGAATTATCCCCTGCACATTATTGCTAGCCTATGTAAAATGTTCTTAGCGAAATATATATATTCACCACACCACTGGATATGTCACGACTTCTATGGGTCCATCATTTCAGTGGAAAACATTCTGTCTCTGCCCTTAAATGACGCTTGGGTCTGTTTAATTTTACGGTTGATTAATTTACGTTTTATTTGGTGGTAATGTTATCTTATTCATTTGTGGTTCAGCTGCAGTTCACGAAGCTGATGTGAGCTGGTTTGAAAATGGATTTTGATCCCCGTGTACGTGTTATGAATGCAGATTCCCTTTTTAAATGTACTTATACTTTTTAAATTAAATTTACCTCTCAACCGGCGCCATACCAAACCAACTTTACGGTACATGAATGGAAATTATATGCGCATTGAACAGCCAGCAGACAGACGGGCATCAGAGGAGATGGCAGATGCAGACGACAGTGTATATATGCTTGCTTGATCAATACCAATTACTCAGTTGCCACACTACTGTTACACAACACTGTGTTCCTCTTTACACCCAACCGCATTGTGTTCATCCATGCATTTTTTTCACCCCCAAAGCACATTTAAATAAAAATCATAATATTCCATAAGCTGTCCAGTACGCTGTGACTTGCACTACAGGAGCTAAAAGCAAGTTATATCTTGTATGTTTTTGTAGCCGGAATGTAAGAGTAGCTGAACAAGTGATTTTTTTTTGGTGAATCACTATCAAACAGCGTCGCTCGAATAGCGGAACTAGGCGACGTGCACTGAGTGGGCGGGGCTTTGCGTGACTCATCTGCTTGCTCAAAAGTACGTGGAAACTTTTAAAAAACACGCACATGCATGAAAACACATGCTTGACCATGGAAAATATCAGCAGTACTCCACTTCAATTTCAATGATGTTATCAGTCTTTGTTATATTTTTACATATATCTATAAACGAAATACACCAGTCAAAAGTTTGGACACACCAAGCTGCTTACAATGGAGAGCGATACTGTCACATCACATGACCTGGTCAGCTGACCTAAACCCAGTAGAGATGGTTTTGGAGGAGTTTGACCTGAGAGTGAAGGGAAAGCAGCCAATGAGAGCTCAGCATATATGTGGGAGCTCCTTCAGGACAGCTGGAGAAGCATCCCAGGAGGCCACCTCATGGAACTGGTGTAGAGGGGACAGTAGAGGAGACCGTAGGGTCAGCCAGTCCCTGAGGCAACTGGGGTTAAGGGCCTTACTCAAGGGACCAATGGTGGGATCACTCTGCCAACTCAGCAATGTTCCAATCCATAGATCCATAGCTGCCCCCGACCCAAACAAATGTTTGTTTGTTTGGGTCATGATTCCATATATGCCATTTTTATAGCTTTGGTGTTTTTAATTATTCAGTGCTCAAAGAAAGTCTTGGGGCACTTGCTTAAATCTGTAAAAATGTTGCATATTTATTGATTTCATAACAGAAGTCCCTTCACAAACTATGTTTAACACATCTGCACATACCCTCCTCAAAGACATTTTCTTTTTAGTAAGCATCATAATTCTTTTGCCTGACTCATTCGGTTCTCTTCTTGCTATTTTGCTGTTGACTATAATTGTAGTCACTGGCTCCCAAATGGATACTAAACACAAATGTTTCCTTTTTTATGTCATTGTAAAGATGTTACTAATTAAAAAGCCCTCAATGAGGCTGCTTGTCAATGAACTTAACTCAGAACGGCTCCTTCAGAACTATAATTTGAGTTTCTGTTTATTGTTTTACTTACATTAGAAACAACCAGTAATTTTAATATTTTATGTAAATGAATGAACTAATTTGTTCTAAAAACCCATACATTTTTGATATTTGCCAAACTCAAGACCTTTTGTGAGCTCTCTATATATAAAATCTATATTTGAAGAAGTGAAATGCCCTGCGGCTTCCTGTTTTTGTCTGTCTTTACTGCTGTGTCCTGACTGCTTTCCCTAGTTTTGGGGTTGATCTGCCATTTCACCCAGATGTCGTTTCACCTGCGTTCCGCTTCCTCAGATCCAGCTGTGGGACACGGCGGGCCAGGAGCGCTTCCGGAAGAGCATGGTGCAGCATTATTACCGCAACGCCCACGCCGTCTTCTTCGTCTATGACGTCACCAATGCTGCCAGCTTCCACAGCCTGCCCATCTGGATGGAGGAGTGTCGACGGCACTCGCGGGGCCAGGAGGTGCCACGCATCCTCATCGGCAACAAGCGGGACCTCCGCAGCTCCGCCCGCGTTGGCGCCGAGCTGGCCAGGAAGTTTGCGGAGGCCCACCGCATGCCCTTCTTCGAGACGTCAGCCAAGAGCCCTCAGGGCTATGACTGCATGGAGACCATCCTCATCACAGTAGCGCAAGGACTCAAGAACCAGAAGCCATTGTTGCTAAGCCAACCATCTACCAAACAGAGCATCCCCTCACCAAAGAGAGGCTCCTGTAGTTGTTGAAAAGCATACGACTCTTCACCCTACCTTGAGAGACCAGCTGTTGCTTGCTCTTTAACTTCTTTCAATCTGTTCTTCTTAGGAAAGCCCCGAGGTGCTTTTCCAAGTGTTTACTTGTGTAACGAGCAGATTGTGTAAACAGGCTCCCCCTTGGGCTAATGCCGATTCGTTTGATGGTTCCGACGACGCTGAGATGTCAGTGTGTCTCCCGGAGGAGTCAGCTACAGGTCACCGGCCTAGTAGGAGGTTTGTGAAACCAGGATGCACAAGTTCCTGGACTTTAGGAGGAAGTGGCATGTCTCAGTTCTGTCGCATGCGTTCAGGTAGCGATCTGTACCAGCAGAGGTGGAGAGTCCAGGAAGTACAAATCCCAACCATGATTTTGTATCATCCAACCAGCTGAGCATAACGAGTTAGCCACAGAGTACTCGACTGGTTGGTTGAAACAAAATCTTGGTCTGGATTTGTACTTACTGGACCTGAACCACCTCTTTCTATCAGTATCTCCTCTGGGCTCTGAGAGTGATTGTTCCTTCTGCTCTAGGTCCAGTGTGAGAAGGTACCAATCCTCAAGACAAAGCGTAAACAAGTGTGAGATTGTTTTGGGGGGGGGCAGCATATGGCAGATTGTGATTGGCTGGAGGAGACATACTTAGGGAGCCCTGGTCATTCAGTGCAGGTAGTAAAGAGGACGGCTACTCTGAGGTAGTAAAGAGGACTGTTACTCTGAGGCACAATGGCCTAGAAGACTGCATCTTAGACCAAATGGGATGAGTGCCTTGTTCAGACTGGAGTCACTTTGTAGGTCTTCAGAGTCACACTTCTGTAACCGATTTAATTCACAACTGGCACTGGGAATATTCCAGTAGATTCTGGCTGTAATTATGCTATTTATTTTTTTTTTACATTAAGGCTGAGAATTTAATCATGAGGTTGGAGAAACAAATAATGCAGATAAAACTTCATAACCAAAAAAAAAAAAAAACAGATCTCAGGATTTTGCAAGTCTCCGGGGGAAAATTTTCATTTACGAAGGAGAATCTCCCGCAAAGGATTAGGATTTTTTTCCTTCGCATGAGGACCAAAACGGTCAGATGTTTACATGGTGGCTCAGAAAAGCTTTTTTTTGTAAATGACTTTCTGCTGTAAAAAAGTAATAAACTACCAACAACGTGACGTCTATCTGGAACTGATGCATCAAGATTGCATCGCCATGGTTATTGGTGTATATTTTTAGGCTTTTTTTTTGCCAAGTACAACACTGGTCTTTGAAAGTCAGCTAACACTTAAAACAGCTTTTTCTACAGTCATACATTAATAATCCGTTCAGCAAATTTTGTTGCAGAAAATTCTTTGAAATAACGTCTCCAGCTGTGTGTTGTTATGGCCCAGTGTAGGGTTTGGCTGCACAGCTGTATTGTAACCGAGTACGGAGGTGGAGTGTGGACCAATGAGGGAAATGCACGCAGAAGGTATGAGGGGGATGAAGGTTATTATTGTCCATACACAATATCACACACTGTACAAAAGTCAACCGGTCTCAGCTTCTACCATATCTGGGGGTATTCAGTCACCACATATGGCAAAATCAGCTAGAGTGTTTGATGCGGCAGATTAAGCATTTGAGGGTTTAGGTAAAGATCTTAATTTGGTATTAAACCTATAACCCACCAAATGTGGTGCGTGGGGCCGGGTTCTCAAAACCAGGAGTGTAGTTGTGGTTTCTAATATCTGCGGAAAAACGTTCCCATGAGTTCATCTCCAAAAACACACAGTGGGAAAGTTTCCACATTTCATTCCACCGGTAGGGACCATTTCTGACAAAGTGCAACCATTGCAATAGAATAATCATTGTCAAGTTTAATGAAAATGTTCAACTTATAAATCGACCACAGGACAAATACATGCAGGGCCTCTGCCTCAAGCCATAGACCAGGAGTGCGTTAGACGACACCAAGCTGGCAAACATTCCTGGGCACATTTTGCAATTAAAATTACAATATGTACATATTGCACTGCCATCAAAATATATTTTTAAAAAAGTGTTTAAAACCCACATAGAAGCGACAGTCATCATTCCATACAAAAATATTTACATAACCACAAAACAAAAGGTAATTTACAAATTCGAATGAAACCAGAAATGTAAGGAGGGGAAGATAAACGTATTATTATTATTAAAGTGCTGAATTTTAGTAAATTCGGTTCTTGTTACGGTAAACACTTAAAAGCTGCACAGGAACTCCAGTGTATTTAAAATGGGAATTCAAGTCTACAATTTCAACATAAAATACAGTGAAATGTTGAGTGCACCTATGAGGTCAATCTGATGTAGGGCGGGGCTTTGGCAGGCCCCGCCTCCTCTTCAGCATCCTTATCAGAGGGCTGCACGGGGGAATTAAACAGCCTGTCGTCTCCACCTGCTGAGGTAAGGCAGCGCTTCAGTTTTGGCAATTCAGAGGCCTCAAGGAGGACATAAATACAGCAGGTTTGCCATTCGCCGGAAATACTGCATCATTATTATTGCATAAAATTAAAGGTAAGAGATCAAGATTTTACCCTAAGGAACCACTTTAATAAATCTGAGACCTAGAAAAATGCATGATGGGTCAGGACGGGTGGTAATTATACACTTGTACCCACTTTTCCATTCTCAGTTTGTATGCTGGGGAACAGAAGCATCCTTGATCTTTCAGGCACGTGTGCAGTAAATGAGCTAATAGGTCACCTGTGGCTGAGGGTCATAGTACCCCCCCCCCCCCCCGCCCCCGCCCTACCTTGCCAGGTGCAGATCAGCTCTGCCTGTGGGTTTGGCTCATCTTGGGGAACCAGTGTCTCCTGTCAAACAAAGAGCAAAGCCTCACTGCACGCTTTCAGCGGGGCATTTTATATGAAGAAGCTGTCCCTCCCAAAGCAGGAGCACCGACAAGTGTCAAGATTGAAGGATTAAAGACATACCCCTCCCTTTAAACTTGATGTCAGAAAAATCATTAACATCCAAATCCTACAAGACAGCAGCATCTGGAGAGTGACTAAGGGGGGTTTCTACAAGGCAAGATCTCAGCTGGGTTAACTTAAGCTAGAAGTTTTGATTGTCCAATAGGAAAGCTCCTTACGTAAACTTTTTGGACAATCATGACTTCAAGCTTAAGTTAACCCAGCCAATTTTATAAAATCCTGCTTTGTGGAACAGCCCCCTGATAAGCATTACATTCAAACGGACTCTGAATTATCCACTTAACCAGGAACTCTCTGCCTCCAGGATCGTAACAGCAAGCACTCTTACTCAGAACATCCCCGTGGCTTTTGAGGTGGAGTTTGGCAACATTGTATTTATTTAGCAAGCTTTTATCCAGAGAGAGATACAGTTGAGAAGGTTATGGTCTGACAGTCCATGGAGCAATTGGGGGTTAAGGGTCTCGCTCAAGGGCCCAACAATGAAATCACTACCGAACCTGGGATTTGAACCAGCAACCTTCGAAACAAAGGCTGCGCCTCCTAACCCACCGAGCCACACACCGCCCCCCCAGATGCTTCAATGCCCTCTTGGGGGGGGGGCTTACCAGTCCTGTGCTGCTGTCATAGCAGCCACAGAAGGGGAGGCTGCGGCAGCCCACCAGGGAGATTAGCACAGACAGCAGGATGCTTCCACAGCAGGAGAGCAGCATCGTGCCGTTCGCTCCCTTCACCATCCGGCTCAGGATGAACTTCTGCGGAGACGGACGGGACCACGCTGAAGCGACATAGCCCATTTCCCTGCCCTTCCCAAGCTCTGCTATGCAAATATCCCAAATGACGCTGGATTACAGACCACGCCCACAAGCTGTGGGAGAAACAGCCAATTCGGCCAAGCATGTCACTACTTACTGTATTTAGTATCTTAGCTTTGGAAAACTTACACTTGAAAGCCGTAATATAAACAGATTTAAAAAGTTAACAGCTGTAAAGCGATGAAACTGGAGTGGAAGGCAGGTGCAAATGGAAAGGGGCCACGGTATCTTAAAGTCTCAAAAACCAAAAGATAAGAAAACCCGCAACCTTGCTGCGCAGAGTGAGCAGCCGCGGCAAACGTGAGAAATGCCGCAGCGGGACCGCACCGCTTTGGGGATGCCCACGTGGCTGGGGTGGAAGAGCTCGTCATCGTCTTCCCCGTAGCTCAGGGTCAGCACGGCGTAGACGGCCACGATGAGGGTGGTGAAGCAGGAGAAGACGGAGGCGGCGATCATGGCGTTCACCTGGACACATGGAGGCGGTTACGGCCGCAGCGTGTCAGCCGAGCAACTATGCAAACCACCACGTGCAAGGCGCGGAAAAAAAAAAACACCGAAAATACCCAGTGTGCTGGAGAATGCCATAAATTCGTTTCTAAATAAGGCAAAAAAAATCACAACAAAGTCTGCCAACTTGTATAAGTTGCATTTCATTTCTTACCAATATGGGGTTCTTTTTCTGGGAGGAGAATAGTGCCAGAACTCCCGGTACTGCCATTACCTGAAATGAGGGTTTCATTACAAGGTTGCCATTTAAGTGATTGGATAAGATCGGATTACCGGGAGCCAAACCCATAAGGCCATTTCATCCAGGTGGTGACTGCGGCGTCTCACCATGCCTGCCCACATCGGAGCCCGCGTGCTGCTCAGGGCTGTGCTTTTCCGGAAGGCGGCGTCGATGAACCCGCAGACCACGCAGAGACCCGCACAGGCCACCTGCAGGATGCCCAGCACCACCATACGGCGCTGGTTGAACATGAAGTACCTGTACCGGTCCATGACTTCGCGTCCCTCCTTCAGACCGACACAGGATCGTAGCATCAATGTCAGACGCGTGTAGGACAAGCCAGCAGGGACTGTTCACACTTACAGTATCTCAAATTAACGCAATAGCTGGCATATCTTACCATTTAAGGGGGGGTAAACGGAGCGAATATAAGTGGTGCGAGTTCATGGGCTAGTGTTAGATCAGGGTTTTGTGTAACTTTTCCTGCAGTATCTCCATTGCGATCTACCAAACAAGATCTTATTAAGTAGCCTAGTAAACGGAGTGGCATATAACATAATCCTAATTAATAAGAATAGCAAGTCTCAACATGGAAAAGCGCTCAAACAGGGAGTCTCCTAAATCGGAATTCGGTAATGGAAGTCATTTAAAACTTCGAAACAGTAACTTAATTGATACCTACAATTCTAAGTAAAACAAGTCGTCATTTAGATAGCCCTATATTTTTACGACTGTAAATAGGCTCATTCAATTCTTTGCAATATTAGTCTCAAGCACACTTTTTGTAATGCGTGTACTGTATATATATACTGTGTATATATTGAGCGTGTAGTCAGAGTATGGAATAGTCTTCCTGATAACGTAGTGCAAGCTGAATCCTTGGGTTCCTTTAAATCAGAGTTAGATAAGATTTTAACAACTCTGAGCTATTAGTTAAGTTCTCCCCAAGCGAGCTCGATGGGCCGAATGGCCTCCTCTCGTTTGTATAGGCTAGTTCTTACGTTCTTATAGGAATATATCATAATAGTGAATATTCGATCGAAACATCCAAAATGCGGCACAATGAAACTAGTCATGACTTTCCTGCGATGCATCCAAACGAGAAAAGTTCTCATTTTGCATTTACCAACTAGAATACGATGCACTTTGTCGGAAATATAGTGCAAGATTTCGAGCAAGGCTGATTTCAAAATTCGCGTCGTAATTTGGATTTGGATTAGAGTAGCCTATATATAGGCTATGTTAATAAAAGTTACATAATTAATGTGAATATTTTGTAAGGCGGGGAAACTAGTCTAAGATGAAGAAACACTGAAACTAAACGAAAAACAGAACAAGCTACATTGGAAACGTACAGCGAGCCCGGTTCTCTTTGATTTTCGAATGAATGGATGTAATTAATCCTCGGTTAGCAAACAGCCGCAATCGCCAGCTAGCCTACTAGTCTATTTGAATGAAACGAAACTACGTTTTCATTAGCAAGTTAAGCCGTTCGGAGAACCAGGAAGAGGTGTAAAAACGGCAAATGTCATAAATCAAAACTCATAACAAATACATCCTCAAAAAAAAAAAATCATTATACAACTAACCTCTTTTTTCCCCGTGGTAAGCGCTGTCTTAGTCAGCTTCCTGCTTTTAAGCCGCACAGGTTAATATCAGCGCTCCGTAACACGTTAAACTGAGCACCTGCGTGGCCGAGTTAACACTTTCATTACCTTGCATTTTCACCTCGGATGTGGGAACAGACTGAACACCGGTGTGTGAACTTTACACCCCCAAAACATACAGTACCACAACTTTTACAAGTTATGTATGTATGTATGTATGTATGTATGTATGTGTGTGTATATATATATATATATATATATATATA